TAACCTTTCATGTAGTTTGTGTTGTATTTACTTATTTATTTTTAAATCCCTTTATATTCTGAGGTCATAGAGCATTCCCTTACATTATCTTTAACATTTTACCATTCACATTTCGATTTTGATCTAGCTTGGGTTCATCATTTTGTATAGTATGAAGTATAGATTGAACTTAATTTTTTTCTATTTGATGAATTCAGCTTTTCCAATCTCATCTACTACATAATTTGTTCATCTCTAGTGATTCCTGGTAGTACCTCTGCAGTACCCTAAATATGCATATTTACATAAATCTATTTTTTAGCTCTATAGTTTTGTTACATTTGGTTTTTTATATCTATATAAAAGGTAAAAGAAGTCTTTTCTCATTTCTTCTCTTTTAAATTGCTTTCACTATTATTGACCTCTACTTTCAAATATATATTTTAGAATCGGTTTGAGTTAATAAAAAAGTGCTTCTAGAATTTTGATTTGAATAATTTATGGATAAATTTTGGGAAGAATTGATACTTTTATAATGCTGAGTCATCTCATTCATGAAAGAATAAGATCTTTTAAATTATTTAATTGAGCTTTCTTTCTATGTTAATAGGCTTGGGTATTCTTTGTTAGGGTAATAGTAAAATACTTAGAATTTTTGTTACTGTTTTCTACTTTGTTTTCTAATTAGTTATTGCTAATATTGAGGAATGCTTGATTTTTGTATGGTAACCTTACACCTGGTAACTTGGCTCAACTTTTTAATTATAGTTTGTGTTTTAGTTTATGATAGCTTTCTATATAGTTGGTCATGTCGGTAGATAGTTATTTTGTTTCTTTTATTTCTGTTTGTATATCTCATTGTTCTTTTTATTGTCTTATTGTATTCACCAGGATCATTATTACCTTGTTGTTTAGGAAGGAGATAGTGTGCATCCTCTTCAGATTTCTAATCTCAAAGAGAATGTATCTGTAGTTTCTCTCTTTACTGATGTTTACAGTAGTAAAGATTCATCTAGTTATTCCTAGACTCCTGAATTTTTAAAAATAAAAACATAAATGAATGTCACATTTTATTGAATTTATATTCTAGATATATTGATATAATTCTGTGGTTTTTATCCTTTAGTTTATAAATGTGATGAATTTCATTGATAGATTTTTCTGATATTAAACTATCCTTGTATTATTTAGATAAATCCTCCTCGATGAGGATGTTTTATTGCTTTTTTAACATCTGTGGAATTTGTCTTATTTATTAATTTATTTTTACTATTTTTTTGGTATATATATGTATTGTTATAAGTAACACAGGCCTATACTTTCTTTCTTTTTTTGGTATTGTCCTTATATGGTTTGTAAGTCAGTGTTATACTAGTCTCATTAAAATGGTTGAACATTCTTCCCTTTTCTCTATTTTATGAAATTATATAAGATAGGAGTTATCTATTCCTTGAAAGTTGAGTAGAAAACTTCATGTACAGTCATAGGCATTTTTTTCTTTGCCACACAACTCTCTTCTTCCTCCCTATCATCCTGGTTCCATTTTCCATGATTTGTTTAGTCTCTTCATTAGCATGTATGGTTATAGGAGTTCACAGTTGTTGTATTTAACCCAAATGTCATTCGAATAAGAACCATATTCACTCATATCAAGTTTCAAGATTTATTTTAGGCCTCATAATAGCAAAATTAATTGTTTTTTTCCTCTCAAATAGTGTGAAGTCATGAAAATGGATAGTTTGTTTAGTTTAATGTTATATTCTAATACAAACAACAGTCCTTAACATATGGTAGGTACTTAATGAATGAATAAATAGAAAAGTGGTAGTTGAATAATGCAGTACATTTGTTTGAACATATGCAAACTATGACCTTATTATTTATTTACTTATTTACTCAATAAACACAGATTTTCTCTTCTGTATGAAATGGGTTTGGAGAAGCAAGGATAAATGAATAAGTCAAGGACTTCTGCTTTAAAAGGAAATTACAATCTATGATGGCAGAAATTACACTTTTTGAATGACTATAATATGACAGCACTACATCTCATCACTGTGTACACGCTAGTTTTTGTCAGATTTTATGATTTGGAAATTTTAACAAATTTTCCTCAAAAAAGAGCTCCAATAGTGATTCATAAGAGTATTGAAGTAATTTATTTGCATACTTATTAGCTGTCTGGTGTTAGGCAAGTCACTTAAACCACAGCTTTTCCCATGGGGAATGTGATAATAATTACCTACTTAGTGCAGTTATAGGTATAGTGTGAACGGTGCCTGGTCCAATCTGTGGCACATAATTAGCATTTAATAGAGGACAGTTGAGCTAGCAAAAGTTATGTATTTCTGATGCTGATTATTAGACACACAATTAGTATATTAAAAGGCATTTGGCAAAGTATAGACATGTAGATAGCGGATCTAATCTACCATCAACATAAAAATTGATCAATTATTAAAAATCTATACATTCTTAAGTATACAAAGACTGTATAGTCCTAAACTGTGAAGACTAAACA